TTGGTATATACGTAATAATAATAATAATAATAATAATAAAAGAATAATAATTTGCAATTAATTTAATTTTTTAATTAATGTATTTATTTTTTATTTAATATCATTGATGTTTATTTATTTTATAATTTTTTATTGATCTATTTTTATTTCTTATATTGTGTTTGTGCATATATTGGTATACACGTAATAATATATATATAATAATAATAATATGCAATTAATTTTTGTTAATTTTTAAATTAATTAATATAATAAATTTTTTTTGTTTTGATTGATTTTTATTTATTTCATGATTTTATTTGTATGATTATTTTATCTATTTTTTTATTTCTTATCTTGTGTGCGTGCATATATATATATAGGCATATATATATGTAGCTTATGAAAATGAATGGTCAGAATTAGATTTGCATTGAAAAACTAATAAAAAACTACTAATAAAAATACATGTATATTTAAGATTGCATGAAAACGAGATCAATTTATATATAATTTATATATTATCCACTTTATTTATTTGATTGTTTTTTGATTTCTTATTACCTAATGTGCGCATATGTACTAATATAATATTATTATTAATATCAGTATTACATGCATACTGGTATATACATAGGTGAGTATTAATGTGTCTATGCATGCATACATCAGAATTAGATTTGGTCTGGTGACCCTAGATTCATTATTTTGATCGTTCTATGTAATGCCCTATTATTGACTGAATTTTTCACTTTTAAACCCTAAATGGATGTCAAACCAGTGTTTTTTTAATTATTACTATTATTATTACATTTAAATCACTAATTTTTATTTTTTTATGAATTTTTTTTATTTTATTTATCTGTTTTTTTATTTCTTCTTATATAGTGTTTGTGCATATATTGGTATATACGTAATACTTATTATATATTATCCACTTTATTTATTTGATTGTTTTTTGATTTCTTATTACCTAATGTGCGCATATGTACTAATATAATATTATTATTAATATCAGTATTACATGCATACTGGTATATACATAGGTGAGTATTAATGTGTCTATGCATGCATACAGTATAAATACTACTTTTCATTTATCTTATAGAAAGTAATGTTCAGCATGTGTGTAATGGAGGGATTTGCTGGTGAGTGTCAATGGATAGATGAATTTGGTTTGCACTGAAATACTAATTTAATACGAAATTATTATATATTTGAGATTGCATGAAAACAAGTCTTACTTTCCCAACTTTTCAAACTGATCTCATTTCCATATTGAAAAGATGAAAAGCAGGAGTGATTGTGCTGCAGAAGGAGCTGTATTATTGCGTGTTGCGTCGCGATGTGTTTTATGAGCGCATGAGTTTCTCACCGTCTCTCGAGATCACTGGGCAACAGACAGAGTCTCTCATCTGTGAAATCAGACTGACCCAAATGTGCTCTGATTAAGAACAGAGAGTGAAAACACTCAGTCTCAAGAGGAGAAACAACAGTAAACCATGACAAAGAGTTCATCAAATTAACTGCCAATACACCTTCCTTTTTTCAAGAGTAATTCTGCAATTATTTAATAATTCAATTAAATAATTATAAATAAACTCAGACTTGTTTTCAGACAGTGTTGAATATAATCATTCAAAAGTTTGGGATATTATGGGGAGTTTTTAAGGTTCTCGAGTCTCTTCTGCTCACCAAGGCTGCATTTGTTTGATCAAAAATACAGTAAAAATAGTGACATAAACCTTTTGTAAAATTATAAATGTCTTTACTGTCACTTTTGATCACTTTAATGCAACCTTGATGAGGAAAAGCATTCATTTTTTAAACACATGAACAGTTTAAGCCAATAATCGTTCCTGTTTAGCCGATAAACAACATTAAGACAGATGAGAAATATTGTATCACTGACTTCTGTGAATAAAGAGCAATCTCGTAAAAAAACGTATTTGCATTAAAATGAATGCTGATGGCTTAATTTAAATATGCATGACAGACAGAGCTGGATTTCACTGAATTTTGAGTAGTTTGTGAATAAAACAGGTTTTTGTTGTTGTTCTCTGACCGCATGTGGAAACACTTTCATGTGAAAAGCTGGAAATGCAACAGTTTAGTGAACCAAGTTTGCATATGTGTTATGTTGAGTGTCATATTTGATGCATCAGGCTTTTATGGCTCATATAGTCTGATATAGAGAGAATATGGAGGATTTACTTTATTTTATAAAGGCTTTTATGGCTCAGTTTCATCGGGGTTATTATAGTTAACTAAAACTGAAACTAAAATTAAAACTATACAAAAAAAAAAAAAAAACGGATAAATTGAAGTAAAATAAATGTCAACTAAAATAAAATATTAAATTATTTTTAAATTATATATATTAATAAAAAAACTAATTTATAAATGTATTTTTATTTCAGCTAGTTGATGCACTAAAATAACTAAAACTGAAACAATAATTTATTTTAAAAAATAAACAAAAATGACAAAAACACACAACAAAATTAATAAAAAAAAATAAAATAAAATAAAATCAGATTCAAAATATTCAAAGTAATGCTAAAGTAACACCAAAGTAAAAATATGCAATTTGCTGCAGATGCTGATAATTATATGATGAAATTCTGATGCTTGTAATTAGGGATGCACCGATAGGATTTTTTGGGGCCGATACCGATACCGATTTTTAACAAACACTTATTGGCCGATTCCGATACCGATATTTGTCACTTCCTCTCTTATTTGAAATTTTGGCATCAAAATAGATAGTATTTTGATCATGTTTTAAATCAGCAAAGTTCAAAAACACCTGCATTAAATTATACTAGCAGTTTTATTGCTGCATCATCAAATAATTTCTAATGAACATGGATTGGATCCATTTAACATTCAGCAGGCCTACATAAATACAACAGAACAAAGATACATATTAGATCAACAGTGCTTTTCAGGTAGGTTTAACAGTTTTCAGGTACAGAAATAAAGTAAACAAATGTAAAACAACACCTCACTGTATAAATTAAATACATATTAAACCTGCTTTATTGTAACAGACTTTATCATGATTACATCTAATATGCAATGCTGCTTCAGTCCACCTCAGTATTCAGATGAGATGTAAAACATGCAATGGAATATTAAGTGATGCACAACCATATGGATGTAATATGACATTTGCTTAAATATTAATATGCACATAAAGATGTGAGATAAACAGAAGGTAACCTTCATCTTACCTTTGTCTGTTTCCTGAGCGTAAAGAGACGACGGCAGCACATCAGGACATAAAAAGAACAAAAGACACAGTCAACAGACAATAAATGACTCTCAAGGAAACTATAAACTACTGTTTAAATGCTTGGGGTCAGTAAAATATTTGTTTTTAAATGAAATTAATACGTATTCATCAAGGGTGCATTAAATTGATCAAAAGTATCAGTAAAGATATTTATAATGTTGCAAAAGATCTCAAATAGCCTAAACGCTGTTCTTTTGAACTTTCTATTCATCTGTGAATCCTGAAAAATAAAATGTATCACAGTTTCCACAAAAATATAACTGTTTTTAACATTGATAATAATCAGAAATAAATGTATCACAGTTTCCACAAAAATATAACTGTTTTTAACATTGATAATAATCAGAAATGTTTCTTGAGCAGCAAATCAGCATATTAGAATGATTTCTGAAGATCATGTGACACTGAAGACTGGAGTAATGATGCTGAAAATTCAGCTGCGCATCACAGAAATAAATTACAGTTGAACAGATATTCACATAAGAAACTGTTTTTAAAATTACAATAATATGTCACAATTTTTCTTGTTTTTACTGTATTTTTCATCAAATAAATGCAGCCTTGGTGAGCAGAAAAGACTTCTTTTAAAAACTATAAAAACTGCAACCCCACACTTTTTCTTGTTCATCAAATAATCAATTACCAACTAAAATAAATGTAATTTTCCATAATTTCATTCACAAATGTGTTTTATGATTTTTTAAATTAAGATAACTCCACAATCTTTGCTTCTGAAAAACATAATGTGTGACAAAACAGCAATTAAAATGTTTAATAATGTTTCATATTTGTCTTAAGTGTCAATTAAGTGTCAATTTTTTTAAATTGAGATTTATACATCACCTGAAAGCTGAATAAAAATATTTCCATTGATTTATGGTTTGTTATGATAGGACAATATTTGGTCGAAATACAACTATTTGAAAATCTGGAATCTGAGGGTGCAAAAAAATCAAAATATTGAGAAAATCATCTTTAAAGTTGTCCAAATGAAGTTCTTAGCAATGCATATTACTAATCAAAAATTAAGTTTTGATATATTTACGGTAGGGAATTTACAAAATATCTTCATGGAACATGATCTTTACTTAATATCCTAATGATTTTTGGCATAAAAGAAAAATGGATAATTTTGACCCATACAATGTATTGTTGGCTATTGCTACAAATATACCCCAGCGACTTAAGACTGCTTTTGTGCTCCAGGGTCACATCTGATATCACGCGGATCTCAACACTTCACACACAAACCTCAAAAACATCGACAATCAACAAATATCATGAGCTTATAACACCACAACAAATCAAACATGACAAAAACAAAACAAAACAACATAAATACAGTCAGCAAACAACAATCCTATCATTTCAATGCTGTAAAGCTCTTTTTAAATGCTCTTACGGTGTGAAAAATTCATTTTCAAAAGCCAAAATAATCCATGTAGATCAAATCTGCATGCATAATATTTATAAAAAACAGTATTTCATGTCAAACACCCAGTCGCTTTTTAATATGGTTCCTTTCTTTGTTCAACTCATAAAACAGAAAGATACTTTATTAAAACTGGCATGCAACAGATAGCGTGACACTGGTCATTTCTTTCCCCTTCAGACCTCTTCAGTGCTTGATTAGCGCAGGTCTTTAGTGTCTCCTTGCATTACGCTGCTGTTCACTGAGCTGTTCAGTGGTATTTCCTGACTGATCAGCCTGTGAATGCACTCATAAAGCACACAGACTTAGGCCTGAATGTCGCAACAGATCTGCAGTGTAAACTTCAGGCAAGCCTGTGGACTTTACAGCTCCAAAACCTTCCTCCCTCTCCTAAATGCAATGAGAACTGGGAAAAATGCATGCAACTTGCCAGTCTTGCATGCATGAAACACTTGCACAAAAAAGAGTGCATTCATGAAAACATAGCTAAAATGATTGTTGCAAAGCATTGCTGCATTAGAACTGTTGCATGCAATGCTGTGGTAGAATTTTGGAAAATTGCATCTGCATTGTAAAAAATGATTTTCCAAAGTTGTAAATAAAGATTAAATACAATTTTAGTCTTTCTACTTCGATTTTTCATGTTTTAATTCAATAGCTCACTAGTTTTGGAAGAGATCTCTAGTATTACCAACACCACAAATGTTATGCCAAGCTCCTTCAGAAGAACTCAAAAAATCTCTCAAATTACTTTCCCATACATATTCGTTTTGATTTCTAAATATAAAAACCAAAAGAAGAGCTCAGACCTTTACAAAAGTAAATTCTGAGCAAACATATTTCTGAGTTACTCAAATGAAACAGAGGTCAATCTTAAAGAAGTGTTGTTTTATTAGCATTAATATACTATCATAGTTTTTGTTCATATTGAATTTTATTTTATTTTTATATTTTCTTACCTTTAATGTTTTGTTAATTGTATTGATAAAAATGTTTTATTTTGTTTTAAAAAGTTACATTTGTGCTAACTTTCTTTTAGATTTAGTTTTCTTTTATTTTTTGTTAATTTATTTATATATTTTCTGTTTCTCTTTCATTTTTGTTAACAATTTTTTTTGTTTGAAAATGTTTATTTTATTAAAAAAATTGTTTAATTTTGTTAACTTATTTATATATTTTTTTTTTTTTTTGTGCAAAAAAATGTTTTTTTGTTTTCGTTTTAATCTTAATGCTTTAGTATAGTTGTTAAATTTGTGTTTTTCATGTCTATATATGTATTCATTTTATTTCAGTTTATTCATTTAATTTAAAAAATACAATTTTGCTGTGTTTTTGTCATTTAATTTTTTTAAGTATGACTATATAGTATTTATACTTTTTTATTTATTAGTTTTAGTTTTTTTAGATTTAGTACTTTAGTACTTCAATTTAAACTAAACAATCAGTAAAAGAAAAATACATTTTTTACAATCTATTTTATTTGAGTGTGAAAAGGTGACTACTTAAAATGCTTAAAATAAACATTCCTTGTTCACACATAAATTATACAGTGGGTACGGAAAGTATTCAGACCCCCTTAAATTTTTCACTCTTTGTTATATTGCAGCCATTTGATAAAATCATTTAAGTTAATTTTTTTTCCTCATTAATGTACACACAGCACCCCATATTGACAGAAAAACACAGAATTGTTGACATTTTTGCAAATTTATTAAAAAAGAAAAACTGAAAAATGCTCAGTATTTAGTAGAAGCACCCTCTTGATCTAATACAGCCATGAGTCTTTTTGGGAAAGATGCAACAAGTTATTCACACCTGGATTTGGGGATCCTCCGCCATTCCTCCTTGCAGATCCTCTCCAGTTCTGTCAGGTGGGATGGTAAACGTTGGTGGACAGCCATTTTTAGGTCTCTCCAGAGATGCTCAATTGGGTTTAAGTCAGGGCTCTGGCTGGGCCATTCAAGAACAATCACAGAGTTGTTGTGAAGCCACTCCTTCGTTATTTTAGCTGTGTGCTTAGGGTCATTGTCTTGTTGGAAGGTAAACCTTAGTTCCAGTCTGAGGTCCTGAGCACTCTGGAGAAGGTTTTCGCCCAGGATATCCCTGTACTTGGCCGCATTCATCTTTCCCTCGATTGCAACCAGTCGTCCTGTCCCTGCAGCTGAAAAACACCCCCACAGCATGATGCTGCCACCACCATGCTTCACTGTTGGGACTGTATTGGACAGGTGCCTGGTTTTCTCCACACATACCGCTTAGAATTAAGGCCAAAAAGTTCTATCTTGGTCTCATCAGACCAGAGAATCTTATTTCTCACCATCTTGGAGTCCTTCAGATGTTTTTTAGCAAACTCCATGCGGGCTTTCATGTGTCTTGAACTGAGGAGAGGCTTCCGTCGGGCCACTCTGCCATAAAGCCCCGACTGGTGGAGGGCTGCAGTGATGGTTGACTTTCTACAACTTTCTCCCATCTCCCGACTGCATCTCTGGAGCTCAGCCACAGTGATCTTTGGGTTCTTCTTTACCTCTCTCACCAAGGCTCTTCTCCCCCGATAGCTCAGTTTGGCCAGACGGCCAGCTCTAGGAAGGGTTCTGGCCGTCCCAAACGTCTTCCATTTAAGGATTATGGAGGCCACCGTGCTCTTAGGAACCTTAAGTGCAGCAGAAAGTTTTTTGTAACCTTGGCCAGATCTGTGCCTTGCCACAATTCTGTCTCTGAGCTCTTCAGGCAATTCCTTTGACCTCATGATTCTCATTTGCTCTGACATGCACTGTGAGCTGTAAGGTCTTATATAGACAGGTGTGTGGCTTTCCTAATCAAGTCCAATCAGTATAATCAAACACAGCTGGACTCAAATGAAGGTGTAGAACCATCTCAAGGATGATCAGAACAAATGGACAGCACCTGAGTTAAATATATGAGTGTCACAGCAAAGGGTCTGAATACTTAAGACCATGTGATATTTCAGTTTTTCTTTTTTAATAAATCTGCAAAAATGTCAACAATTCTGTGTTTTTCTGTCAATATGGGGTGCTATGTGTACATTAATGAGGAAAAAACTAAACAATCAGTAAAAGAAAAATAAATTTTTTACAATCTATTTTATTTGAGTGTGAAAAGGTGACTAGTTAAAATGCTTAAAATAAACATTCCTTGTTCACACATAAATTATATGTAACAGTTTTGCTGATAAACACAGACACAATATGCATCAATATAAAAATATTATTAAAATAAAATATTAAAAACAATAATAACGTAGTGTAAACTCTAAAGACCTAATACAAGAACAGAACAGACATGATATTTACAACATCGTAATGGTTTAGCTAGTACTGTACCATTAGTCATGGTTAAGATATCATCACAACCCTATCAAGCACTGAACTTCACATTACATCAATGCAGCAGCATCTCAGCCCAGAATGACTGATTAATGCAGGCAGAAAGGTGAGTAAATTAACAGCACATTTTGATTTTTGGGTGAACTATCCCTTTAAAGGGGTCATATGATGCGTT